TCCCTCCCATACTTAAGATTCCCTTGAGTATAAAATAAAACAACATTAAATAAATATGGGATTAGAGGTCTACTCCGATTTAAGAATAACCGCAAAAGTCAACCCCAATACGCTATACAAGGCAGTCCTGACTTAAAGAACAGCCGAAGCAATGGCATATAGCACTACAGCAGTGTAATGCACTATGCCATAAAAGGACGATTATAAAACTTATTCATTTAAAATGTAAATGAAATCTGAAAATCTACATATGGTTTGTATGCCACGTCAATTTACCTTGAGGGAATTTTGACTGGCGTGTCACTGATAAATAAAAGTATCATAAACTAACACATTAAAGTGACATCCTTGCTCTGTGCGAAGGAAGAAATGTGCTCGAAAATCACATTTTGAGGATATAAAAGCAATAGTGAACACTTTCATGGAGTAAATTACAGCACAGAAACGTGATGCCTTCTTGTACGTAACGTAAATAACAAGTGACTAATGTTAAATATAAAATATAAATAAAAATCTATACGCAAAAATCAAGCTATATATTTATTCCCTAGTTTCAATTAACTAGCTTTCAAAAATGCACATTCTACTAATTAGAATTTTAATGCAGGAGTCGAATGGAACTGTCTTTTAACTTACTTTGAAAACTGAAGCTTTCCGTTAAAGGATTCCTCAGGATACAACTCTCTTGCGCCTTTGCCGGGAAAATCCTTAAAAGTGCAATGTCCCTTTTTCCTTCAGTTCAGCTATTCTAACTTTCACCACCTCCAACATCATCAGTAAGTTTAAAGAATAAGACACGCCTTATAGGGCGTCTCTGTCACGCCTACGGCCGCAGTGAGCTCATCCTTAGCTCTATAGCTCCACGGGGGGAAAATCGGACACCGATGTCCATCACATACTTTCAAAATAAAGATGCTTATCAAACTAGGAGTCCGTGGGCTACGTGCTGTTCTGAACCATTCTGGTTTAAAGGTCTTGAGGTCTGGAGTTGTAACTCTATGCTATGTGACTCCTGTAGAAATGTAAAACAACTGTTCACAGTGATTAAATTGTGTTGCCTTTTCAAGGCAATTACGGTAACTATAAATTTGTATGCATTCTTGGTGCATTAATGTTTTTATATAGATTTTTACTCTATCACTTATTAATATCAATTATTAATCTACGAAGAATAATCATGTTTACATCTCGATCAGCATGTTATAATGTTAGAATAAGTTAAGCGGAGAAAAAAAGTAGTTAGAATTAAATATTTCACCACAAGTTTCACATACTGAACACGTATCACATTGTAATATACTGCCACCTTGTGCACACTGAGCGCCGGTACCCTGCAGCGACATTTTGAGGAGCAGGTGCTCAAAGCCTTTGACACTTGCATTAAAGGGCCACTCAGCAGCTTTACTGGGAGATTTTAAATAGTTCGGGCAATAGGGCAGATACTCACCCACCTGCAGCCCTCCCCCTCTGCACTTGCCTGCTGAGCACAGCTGCACTTGTAAAGCACCCATCTACCCACCCCCATCCATCTTTGAGTAGTTTATCCAGGTCATGGCAGATGGAGGGGCTGAAACCACATGTCACATGGCATACAGGTACACCCAAGATGGCATTTCAGCACTGCTATGTCTAGACCTAATATCTGTTGCTAACCTCTTTAATTGGTTTCTTCATCTGGTTATCTGGTTATCCATCCACCCATTTTCCACACCGGCTTGACTAATGCAGGGTCATGGTTAGGTAACCCCAATTTACCACAGCAAGTTTTGGGACTGTGGGGTGGGTACTAGTGAGCCCGGAAGAAACTCCACAAGGAGAAGAGGAGATCATGCAAACTCCATGCATGGAGACTAGATCCCTGGTGCCAGAAGTGCTAGCTAACAATGCTAACCACAGCGCCACCATTCAATAATTCAAACACCATTGAATTCATTTTGATGATTCAGCATCACCTCTTGTGATTCACCATCGTGACCTTCACCTGCCATGCAGTTTTCACAGTGCCTGTCTGGATGGTTTGAATTTGCCAAACTCAACAGTGAATCGTGGCAGCTCGTACTAGTACTGTATTAAGTTGTTTCAATTCCTGATAAAAAAAAGGAAATAAAAATGATTTTAAAGTATTTCAGGAATATTTTGCTATTTGCATTTCTAATCATTTAAGTATGTTTAAAGTTGTAGCGTGTGAAACATGATGATGAACAAGTACTAATATTTTCCAACAGTAATTATTTCATCATAATCCAATAATAAGGATTTCATATCCAGGCATATGTAACTTAACAGAGGGAAGAACTAACAAAGAAATAGTTCTTTCATTTTTATTGCATAAAAAAATAAATAAACAATTCATTAGATGTGTGCAAGTTTTGGCAGAACTTTTAATTGAATACACAATACAATGCAATAGTTGTAACATTTGATCTGGGGTAATTTTGAAGAGATATATTGTATTTTAAGAGACATATTTCATAAATGTATTTATTCCAGAAACAAGTCAGAAGTATCACATGTTTACTGATGTATTTCAAGAAGTAATTTTAGAAAATTTGGTAACGCTTTACATTAAGTGCACCTTCATAATGCATTCATAGAACATTCATAAGCAGCATGCAAGTACCATATCATCCTAACATTATAGAATTATGTTAGTTATTATTATGTAATGTTTGTTATTAATGTATATTACAGCTGTTAAGGGATGTTTGGATGTTACGGTATACATACATGATGTTTATGAATGTTTTATGAATACTTAAGGAATACATTATGAAGGTGTACTGAACATTTTATGGATGCAATATAAAAGCATTATGAAAACGCACTCAATGTAAAGTGTTACCAAAAATTCTTTAGAATGCTATTGCCATACATTATGTCAAGTTACGTTTGATTGAATTTTGTCTTTTGTGAGTTATATTTCGGCTGGTATGGTGGCGCGGTGGTTAGTACTGTTGCTTCATACCTTTGGAACCATGCTTTGAGTCTCAGCTCCATGTGTGTGAAGCTTGCATGTTCTCCCTGTGTCATCGTGGGTTTTCTTCCAGGTAATCTAGTTTTCCCCTACAGTCCAAAAACATGCTGAGGTTAACTGGAGGAATTGCCTGCAGACGTGTGAGTGAATGGTGTGTGTGAGTGTGCCCTGCAATGGGTTAGTGCCCCATCCTGGGTTGTTCACCGACTTGAGCCCATAGCCTCTGACATAAGCTCCAGATCCCCCATGACCCTGAATAGGACAAGTGGGTACAGAAAATGGATGGATGGAGTTATAATTCATTTAAAAATCTGGCTCTCATTTATCTTATTTGGTCATCATCTTTACCAAATATAATACAATTGTATTTTGCATTATATGACACATATTTCCATATTTAATTGTTATTATCTGATGCAGTAGACCTTTATACCTTTGTACCTTTATCTCAAGATTTTGATTGTAAAGATATTAATGATGTATTTGTTGGGATTGTTTGGAAAAATATGTTTCGCCGCTTAAAAAGTTGCTTCTTTTGTAATCAAGAATGGAAGGTGGTTTTGATCTTCTTTATTTATTTTGTCTAAGTGTGAAATTGTTTAAGAACTGTAGAACTGTAATTGTCAGTCAACTTATTTTATACAACACACTATCTATAATCTGTTATGTAATTTCTCAATCAGTAAGTTGGTTGTTGACCTTTCTAACTTTTATCAAGAAGTCATATGTTCATTTTTTTCCACAAATGGTTAAACATATGGAATAGTGGTTCTATTACAGATAAAAATTTTGTCTTTGTAATATTGAGAAGTTGAGGGTATGTGTGCATTCTGACCTGTAAGATCAACCTGGTGAATTATTCTCATATGAGAATTTTATGTGCCCTGTGGACAGTAACAAAGTACATTTGCTTGAGATTACTTAAGTACATTTTTCGAGTATCTGTACTTTTTTGTATTTGTATTTTTTCTTTGGAAACATCACTTTTACTCCACTATATTTGAGAGACAAATGTTGTACTTTTGACTTCACAATATTTTTATGAAGTTTCTCTTTACTCATTACGTTGAAGCATAGCTTTGAAATCAGCAGATAAATTATCTTTTAAATAATGTGATATGCCTTATTGTGTTCCTCACATGAAAAATAACAGTGGAACGTGTTTTTTTCAAGTTGTCATTAGAGAAAAGTTTTGGAAAGATTTGGAGTATTTTTCATTGACATCTGGTCATAGTGGTGATAAAAATCATAATTGCGATGTTATTTGTGTAAAATCATTTGAACCTTTTGATTCTATTTGACAAATGTAATGCACACGAAGTCCAATATAAAAATCTAAGCTACATTTTAAGTTTTATAGCTGGATTGATTCTATTTACAATCTCAAATGCATACGCAACAGGAAGTGCACTTCTCATGTTTTAGAAGATTTATACTACCGTAGACGTGTTCCAGGCTATATGTTGTCGCTTTTTTTTACCTCTTCTCATTTTTTAAAAACTTTTCTAAGGATGTATTTTTCTTGCGAGTTTCTTGTTCTGCAAAATATTAGCACGTATTTACTCGAATTCGATTGGCTGACTGTCTAGCCAATTGAATTTATGCTCCTTTTAGAACGTTAGGTTATGTTTAACGGCGGTTGCGAAGTTAGTTTTATTCACCTTGGTTGTACCTCAACCCTGATAACTAATGAGAATTTCTGCTCTAAAAAGTACTTTAAGCACCGTTACATTTTGAAAATGTTATTTCGGGGATGAATTTGGAAATAGCTCACGCCAAGCAATTTCGGAACAGTTCACGTATCAAAGTACAAGGAAACGTCATGCATTAAATCGAGAGAGATGTATCATGGCACTTCGGTACTTTAGCAATTCATTATGAAGAGCCATAACTGCTCAAAATTATTTATTACCTAATTACTGGAGGAAGCTTTCAAGGTGACCGGATACGGATGAGTGCAGAACTATTGCATCTTATTACAATTAAGTCGATTAACATTTCTTAAGAATGAACAAGGAAAATTGTACACATTTACCATATACAGTAAAATATTTATTTATAAAAGGCATCAATATCATCAGACCCCGAAAATACAATAAATACAAAGAAAGATGAGTTCCTCGTCTAACAAAGATTGCATATTAAACACAAAAGAAAAAACATAAAGTTAAAACAATCGAGCTTAATATCTCAGGGTTACAGACATCCATAGGTGGCTCCCTTTGTCTGATTGGATGTTGGAAATCTTGGCGCATTTATTCAAATCACATATAGACTAAACCAGGGTTATAATTACAAGATTATACAAACCAAAACAATCAATTGTTTACAATGGGAAGAAAAAAGTTGTATTAGTGTCTAATAAAACTGTGCATCACTCGATAACATGTTAATCTGTCTTTACAAAAAGCTCATCTTGCATTAAAAGATACTCACTAAAACACTTTTAAATAAATATTTTACACATTTCGTTGCAAGTTTAACACAACAGTATACAATTTCCTTTGGAGTCTTCGTTGCCTTTACTAATCTTGCCAATTAACATTAATATATCGATTGCCCTACCAAATTGGACTACCTTCTTTGGCGTGCATATTAAACTACAAAAACTCTCTAACGCTGTAACTATATGAAACTGTACATATTAAAATACTCCAAATCGTAACAAACAATACTTATGGAATAATTCGGTACTTTTACGAAGACATGTTGGCTCTTGTAAGAGCCTTTTTGGGTAGCAAAGTCCGTTATTTAAAGTCCGTTTATTTCCTCTTGGGAGCTGCCCTCCTGGATTTTGCTGCTTTCGGCTTCGTGGCTTTGGGTTTAGCCGCCTTGGCCTTCTTGGGAGCCTTGGCCACCTTCTTCACTGGTTTCTTCACTTTCTTCGGGCTCTTCGCAGTCTTCTTTGCCGCAGCCGGTTTCTTCGCCTTCTTTGGCGTCTTCTTCACTGCTGGTTTCTTCGCAGTCGCCTTTTTTGGCTTTTTAGCCACAACTGGTTTCTTGGCCGCCGGTTTCTTAACTTTGCTGACTGTCTTTTTCGCAGGTTCCTTGGACTCGCCTTTCTTGTTCAGTTTGAAGGAACCAGAAGCGCCGACACCCTTGGTTTGCATCAGAGTCCCCTTCTGGACTAAGGATTTCAGTGCCAGTTTCACACGAGAGTTATTCTTCTCCACGTCATAGCCACCAGCGGCCAAAGCCTTCTTGAGGGCTGCTAGTGACACTCCTTTGCGTTCCTTTGACGCTGAAACGGTTTTCAGGATGAGATCGGACACACTGGGGCCGGACTTCTTCGACTTTGATGCAGATTTCTTCTTGGGAGCTTTAGCCGGAGCCGTGGCAGGAGCTGGGGCGACTTCTGCCATTTCTGTGGACTGTTGCTGCTTTACCCTTCCCAGTTGAACGTCAGACAGACAATGGTAATACGACACGTAGAAAAGGGCGGAACTTAAATGCCAAGTGAGAACCCTATAGACTCAACCGCCCGTGTAGCAGCTCCGGGTTGTGGAAAACACTCTGGGGTTGTGTTTTCTTCTCAATGAAAATGACGAAATTTTAAGGCAAACGAGCGCTTGTATAAAAATCAAAACATGGCAATGAAAACCAAACATCGGCATGTTTCAGGTGCATTGCCGTTAGACAAAAAACGTTTATACATTTTCAACAGAAACACGGAAAGTTTGTCGATATCACGAGTAAACCCGGGTACTTAGACGCCGCTTCCTCCAGTCTTTCAGTAATAAATTGATCAAACGTTCGTCTAGAAATGGAATAGACATTTTTTCGTCAAAGAAAAGGCCCTGCGTTACATTTGTATAATTGTTTTAAGTTTAAATTATTCATAAAATAGCAATTCAGGCGCTTTATCAACGGAGCAGTTAACACAGTTCATCATAGGTCGCCATTCCATCCTTTCCTAATCAGAATGACGCATTCCTTACTTGATTATTTTAAATAAGTGAATACTTAATAAAATATACACTAGGAATATACTTGCTTCAGTAGTGACGCGTATATAGTGATTTGTGGCGAAGCGTTTAATTGAAAGAAAATTCTGTTTCTGTAACTTTTACTCATGAACCTAACTGTTATAATACTGTACAGTGGTGACACTTTCCTGGCAATTATATAGTACTATTTATTAGATTCGTATGTTTATATAGGCTAGACATGAAACAATTGTTATAATGTGAAACTTAAGTCTGCTGAATGTCATTCAACGAGTCCAAAGATGTTACAAAAATATTACAGCGTTTTCTATATCGTGTGCATTAGTAACGCTTGTTAGTAATTAAATTATTTCGTTGATATTAAAGTTAATTCATCGTTAATAAAAGTGCATAAAATGTATTATCCTAATACAAAATACCACTATATTGAATTAACCTTTCTACAGAAAACCCTGTATAGGACGTTCTCATATGACGACGTACGTTTTCATTAAGCGACCAACTGAATTGTATTTCCTTTACTGTCACGGATTATCATCATTCGCCCATTTAAAATTCCAGTATCATCGTTTAATTTTCATCCATTGTATGAATAAAACGACTTTAATGTGTTCTTGTAATATAACAAATTGCACATTAATCTATTTTATAATGATGGTTGTAGTTATGAATGGTCACTGTATTTTTCCTGTTCTCACACCACCGACGAGCTCGACATTTTTAATGTATGCTTGCGTTTTCTTTTCACGTATGGAATAGGCTCTGAAAAAATGTGTTTGGGTCAGAGTATAACTTCCGAAGGCGTACTGTGTGCGCGCTTGATGTTTTAATTAAGGCATATATGCAGGGGCGTTTCTAGCTATTGAAAAAAAATCAGGGGCCAAGTCAAGTTTACCTTGGGCTTGGCTTTTTATTTAAAGATTGGCGTTGGGGGTAAAATACTCGGGGCTACATCCCCGAGTAATCACAGCTACGCCCTTACATATAAGACAGCCACTACCTTAACTGCTTTTCGTTTAGCGTGTTTAGTGTAGGTGACGAGATCACGGATAATTTCCAGGAAAACTACAGAAAAAGAACAGCCGCAGTTCCTCATAAGAGGTGAGTGACTGCTCGCTCGGTAATAACCTGTATATTCCTACGCACTACGACTCTACAGTACCTACATTACTACATAACATTGTTGTACACGTAAGGATAAACAACAGCGTGTTATGGAGTGGACGCGGACCTAATTGAAAGCAACTCGTTTTTTTGGCAAGGATTCATTTGAGCGTGATTGGCTGGTTTGACTACTGCATAATTAACCCTGTATGTCACGTATACCAAGGCGCTGTTATTCCCCTCGAAATGTATGTTGTAGATGTGTAGTTTATTTATATTGAATTATATAGGGATTGTGTATATAGCGATTATGTGGGGTACCGGGACAATCGATATGATCTGTTTATTAGAAACTATGTGATTTGTCTCCTCGTCCGAAGAATCTTACTAGCAAAAGCAGAATTACCTCACGTCCCGTGATATTTTAAAATCTCCAGGTTTACTTTGAACTGTGAAAGCATTTTTCCGTGCTCTGAACGAATTCTCGTTATAATATTTAGGTAGGATGTGGAGTCTTTTGCGTCGTTTTCAAGGAGCAATAGAGTCTTGCTAAACACTCTTTGATCGTCTGTATTCTTTACGGTTTATAACGCATATTTTATCAAGAAATGTAATTCATGTTTTAGAACTTTTGAAACTAAAAGCACATGATGCTGTATTTATTAAACTATCGTATGTTGCAAGGTCTCCAGGTAGTACTGGTTGCTGATTCTCCCATGAAGTGATAGGTATAACTGCTCATAATGTATTCGAGGGACACGTAGTCCGCACAACTTTTTTTTTCCTAGCTGATCTTTCAGTACATTAAATTAATTCTGATCAGTTTTAGTAGGTTGCTGTAGTACAGGGCATTTCATACCTAAATTAACTTTTCAGTAGGAATGGACAGATTCATAAGTACATTTCCATAGCTGGATACTCAAACGTTACTCATTTGGTATCGATTATAACTTACAAGTATCAAAAACTTAATTCTTTCGTCGTCGAAATGTTATCACATCACTTGAGCAGAAACCCACTACAATTTTTATCAAGAAAAAATTATATATATATATATATATATATATATATATAT